GTTGGTCACCTTAAGTCATCAGCAGTGACAATATTTCTATTGTTTGCTGAGGACTGGAAAGCTAAGTATATTGGTTCTGCTGGTTGTGAATTCTGAAAGTTATATATTCACAGGGCACCAATTCTAAGAGTCAAAATTAAACATTTCTGACTGTACTCTTTTAACAATTTTCTTTTCAGGACTATTCCCCAGCTGCATCACCTATCAGGGCAGATCTAGCTATAAAAATCCTGAAGGTTATTAGATGGCAAACATCTGGTGATCTTCTGGATTTGATTTAGTAGTCCTACTATGTATACTCTATTAAACAGACCTGAATTTCCCCAAATTTAGTTTATCAAGCTAAAGCTTCCAGATCTGGGCTGCAAAAGTCTGAAAGCCTAGTGGATGTCAGCAAAGAGTTTTCTGTATCTCTTTGCTCCCTTCTCGTGGTTTTCTGGAGTTCTGCAGCTAGTGGCCCTACCATACATACCCCTATTCTCTCTGCTTTAGAAGAGAGAAAGGCTACATTTAAGTGCACTTGTAAGTACTTGAAAACTCGTAGTCCTTTATTTCAGTCATAAAAGCTACTCACATTGTTATAAGTGTTAAAATAGTTTTGAGTTCCAGTGGCCAGCTGAAATTTGACAGAAAAGGAACAGAAGGTACTCATCTCTGGACAAAGCAGAGGCAATGGCCTGCCTTCCCACTATTTCCTCTGTTGCAGACTAGCCATTAATGCTTCCGATCACCATTGGCCTCACAAGGCATCCCTACTATCAAATCTCATTTTTAGGTCTCCCAATATCTCCCAATATCTCTGGAAATTTCAGCCACAAGCTGCTAAGAAATAGTAGCATAATTCTAATTGCTTTGCCTCTTATCCTCTGTATATGTGTGTGTGACAGAAAGAGAGAGTGGGTGGATGGTGGTAAACTGATGTGTCAGCCTTCATTCAGGCTTTACATGTTCATCCCTGCACAATACAGAATTCTCAACACCTATTCTCCAAAATAAAATAAAATAAATCAAGAAGTTGCAGTCTTACCCAATGTGGTTACAAGATGTTCCTGCCTGACCATCAAAAAGTTGCTGAATGCCTGCTTCTGTCAGAGGAGTTATTAAGAAATGGTTCTGCATCTTTAACTATAATAGAAGGGAAGGAATAAGGCTAACAACAGCCAGTTTGGTCCAGTGGTTGAAGGACCAGGCTAGTAAACAGGTGGCGTGACTCCAAGTCTCACCTTAGCCATGAAAGCCAGCTGAGTGATTTTGAGGCAGTTATTCTCTCTCAGCCCAACCCACCTCACAGGGTTGTTCTTGTGGGGAAAATAGGAGGAGGAAGGTATATTGGATAAATTTACCGCATTCAGTTATTTGTAAAAATAAAGGCAGAAGTACTACTGGCAGAAGTGGAAAGAAACTAGAGATAATTGGGAGAAAGATAACTGAAAAATAATGAAGATAAAATAAGAAGAGTGGATGGATTTGAACTTTACAGCATATTTTAAAAAGCTTCCAGAGTTAGCTTCCAACTCATTTTTCATTTTTCTTTTCCCTATGTTTTTCACCAGGAAAAACAAGAAAGTTTCTTGATATGGGATGAAGTAACTTCATTGTTTCTTGGACTTGGCTGATAGGTGAATGGAAATTTGCTCCCACCAACTCCTTCCTATTTATCCTTCCCACGCAACTTTGGGTTAAAAAGGTCATAGTGACAATGATGACAGTACAAAATTACCCCCAGCCAAAGAAGAGGAGGCATAAATAAAGCAGTTCTGGATAGTAAACACTGAAGAACATACATTTCAAGTTTCATAAAGACAATCAGTAAGTCCTAGAACCACAGATATTGGAATCGGGATTTAGGCAAGCTGAAGTCATCTTAAATGATTACAAAAAATGATCATCTAAGAGGAGAAGCTATAACATCCAGGCAAAGAAGCCTTAAAGAAAAAAGGTTAAAAGCAAAAATTAAGCTTTTTCCCATGCCCCCAGTCTATCAATAGACCTTCCAAATTTTCTCCTCTGCTCTTTAGAACTGGGCACCCAAAAGCTATTTTGAGGAAGCTGTTCCTGAGTGAAAAAATCCTTTATGCATATACATGAACACCATTTCATTATTAAGCATCATATAGGAATAAGATCTGATTATGAGAACTATTCAGTTTAATGAATTTGAATCTGAAGTGATGCAAGCTAGTTAAAAATAAAATTGGATCATTCACTTCTATATGAGCTACTAGGCCTAAAATAAATCAATAGTTATTTAGTTGGCTCAATTAATTATTTCAGTTACCTGTTTAAAGTACTTCCAAATAAGCCTGTGTTGCCAGCTTTCTATTTCCTAGTATTCTATAGAAATACTGACATCTACAACTTCTATCAACTCAAACCAGTATTCTCTTTGGGAATGATGGATGTTATACTCTGAGACCTCCTCAAGGATCCAAGTTTGATAAGGCCAAAATATAACATCATGGTCACTATGTACCATCTTCATGTACCATTTGTTTATTGGATTGGTGCCCAGCACCAATCTTCTACCAAGAAATGCTATTTCTACTAAGAAATGTTATTTTATACAAAATTCAAGACATGCACACATATATACATTATATATATATGTTGTATCACATTGACAAAGATAAAATGCATTTTGATATTTATTAAATTTTTCTGCCACCCACTCAGATTTAAACATGTTTAAGAACATAATTGAAGAGTTTGGCCTGGATAAAAATATTTTTGTCTATTCCAGAAAAAATGGAGAAAGAGCTAATCTTATTTCCTTTGGCAATGAGCTCCAAAACTGGGAGAGCAACTCTTACAAGGGGTGTTTTTTTCATTCTTTCCAAACACCCCCATATTTGCTATTTTTTTTAAAGAATAGAATAGAATAGAATAGAATAGAATGGAATGGAATGGAATGGAATGGAATGGAACGGAACAGAATAGAATAACAGAGTTAAAAGGGACTTTGGAGGTCTTCTAGTCCAACCATATACCATTTCAAACAAATGGTTGTCCAATCTCTTCTTAAAAACTTCCAGTGTTGGAGGCAAATTGTTCCACTGATTGTTCTGTCAAGAAATTTCTTTTTAGTTCTAGATTGCTTCTCTCCTTGATTAGTTTCCCTACATTGCTTCTTGTTTTGCCTTCAGATGCTTTAGAGAATAGCTTGACTCCCTCTTCTTTTTTGCAACCCCAGGGATATTGGAACACTGTTATCATATCCCCCCTCATCCTTCTCTTCATTAAATGAGACATACCCAATTCCAGCAACCATTCTTCATATGTTTTAGCCTCCAGTCCCTTAATCATCTTTGTTGCTCTTCTCTGTATTCTTTCTAGAGTCTCAACATCTTTTTTACATCATGGTGACCAAAACTGGATGCAATATTCAAAGTGTGGTCTTACCAAGGCATTGTAAAGTGGTATTAACACTTCACATGATCTTGATTCTATCCCTCTGTTAATGCAGCCTAGCACTGTGTTTGCTTTTTTTGGCAGCTGCAGCACACTGCTGGCTCATATTTAAGTGATTGTCCACAAGGACTCCAAGATCCCTACTATTGACCAAGGTAACACCTATACCATACCATTGTATTTGGTTTTTCTTATCTAAATGTAGAAGCTTACTTTTTTCACCACTGAATTTTATTTTGTTAGATAGCAACCAATGTTCAAGTCTGTCAAGATCTTTCTGAATCTTAAGCCTGTCTTCTGGAGTATTGGCTATTCCTGCTAGCTTGGTGTCGTCTGCAAATTTGATAGGTTCCCCATTTATCTCCTCATCCAAATTCTGGCTCATATTTAAGTGATTGTCCATTAAGACTCCATGATCCCTCTCAGTTATTATTATTGAGTCAGGTACCACCTATACTATACCTGTGCATGTGGTTTTTCTTGCCTAAATGTAGAACCTTACTTTTTTTCACCTTTGAAATACTTTTGTTTTGCGGAAGGCCCATTAAAAATAAAAGTGTGGTGGATTGGGCCTTAAAGGGTCAGAGTCTGTAGTTCTCAGCCAGCCTCAAGAGCACAACCGGAGGCAGTCACTGCCCATATGAATTGCAAGAAGCCTGCCTCAATTACCTGAAAGGAAACCAAAAAAAGTAGTAAATTCAACCCAAGAGTCTTTTTGGGGGGAAATTTTATATTGCAGCAGGCTCAAAAGAAAAAACAGTACCTTTCAAAAATGTCATCTGTAATAACAGCACTATATAGTTGTTAACCAACATTTTGAATTTTGCTAATCCAGGATTTGACAAGGAGGAAGGGGAAGAATGCAAGATAAGAAGTAGAAAACAAAAATCACAGATGGCCTTGTCATTTAGGAGAAGGAGAGATGGCTAGAAAGCTTAAGGGAAAGGCAATAGGATGCTTACCTGGGTGTTACCATGGTAACTTCTTTGTTAGGGTGCATGATGCAATGGATGGTGAAAGTAGGCTGGGTCTGGGGCAGATTGTTAACAGAGTGAAAAACTAAATGGGACAGGAAAACAAAGGGTTACTGAGTGAGTAGAATGGGATGGGAGATATAGAGGTGGACAATTTAAAAATGGCTGAAGCTGCTGGGAATGACCATCTGCAAAAGTAGAGCAACTTTAAGATGCATGGACTTCAATTCCCAGAATTACATAGCAAGGATTTTATCCAGGCTCAAAAAAAAAGAACACTGCCTTTCAAAACATGTCATCTGTAATAACAGAGCACTGTATAATCCTTAATGAAGATTTTGAATTTTGCTTAAAAACAGGCACACAATATGAGCTATTTTAACAAGGGAGTTTTATGCAGCTTTTAAGTTTCCTGCAACAGTCAAGCCACAGCTTTCTGGACAGCTGTTTCCACACATTCAGGTAGATTTTCTGATTAGTTGTGGAATTTGAACTTGCAGTTATAGACCCATCTAATCACACGGCTCTGCAGGGGGCCATTAACTCACAGAAAGTTCTGTTCTCACATTTTTCTATGCTCAATGCTGGTTTAGGATGAGGAAAGGTGCTACAGTCCCGATGCCCAGTGTCTCAGCAGGCGGTGACTGTGGCAAAGGACTTTTCGGCAGGGAAATGGGACCTTTGCAAGAATACAACTTACTCAAGTGTGCTCCCATGTTGGAAAGTAACTTTGTGCAGGTATGTCTAGAGATGATTTTTGATTGCCAGAGATTTGTTAGTTTTATCACTTGCCTCCAACAGTGCTATAGACAACATGTTTTTTAAAATTAACTTTCTGATAGCAGAACAAAGCAACTTATAGCAAATTCTATATACTCCAACAATGGAACCAGAAGCAGCTTCCGAGTGGATGAGGATCATTCCCCACATGGGACCTTCCAAGCCATCCATTTCCCCTCCCCCCTCCCCTCCCCTCCCCTCCATTTGCTCAGGTGCCTTTCCATTGATTTCTGCAGTCTTTTTATTATATATAAATATTTGTAAAAATGTAAGGGAAAAAAGGAATGACAATTTTGCCATGTAAGAAATAGAGAGATTAAATTGATGGTATTCCTGGGATTTATCAGAGTTGACTGTGCAGATATGTTTGTGTTTTATTGGAAGGAAAAAAACGGGGGAATCTAAACAGTAGTACAAGCAAAGGGAGAAAAACCTCTTAAAAACAGATATTTTGTACTTTTTCTTCTATAGGTTCTAGATTCTTCCTTTAAAGACAACTTTATCATGTAAAACACTGACTAAATGTTTCTTTTCAGAAAAGAAGATTTTAGGTTGGCATTTTACATTATAGAATTCTTCTTGATAAAGGAACTATCCAAAATGCGTAGGAAATAATCCAAGACATCCAGTACAACAGCTGTTTCTGTGTTTTATCAGTTCGATCATGGCATATAGAAATTTAGCAGATGAAAGGTTGTCATTTTTGGCACCGGAATATGGTGATAAGAGCTGGAGCTAATTTGTTTCCTGCTTGCCAGGCTGCAGTTCAAGAGCAGGGAAGAGCAACAGGAAAATAGAGGGTGATTGTAGGATCACCATTTTCCCCTCAGAAATGAGAATGAGAAATTTTAAGCCTTCATGGTGCCTTAAATGGATGTAATGCTGTTTATCAGCCAAGAGCAACATTCACAGCTGAAAATGTGCTGATTCTTCTTGATCCCGGAATCAATTTTCTCCAACCAGTTATGTTGGTAGCATTTAGGAAGACACCTGTCCTTTCTTAAATGGCGCCCCAACCCTTATGCCACAGCTTCTGGAGAGGTGGAAGTTGAACAGATCACGCATATGCCTCTCTTTCCCCTCACTGCCTCACATTCCAGAAAAAAGCTGCATTTGTGGAATTTCTGCCCTCGTGGGAGCATGAGAAAATAATAAAGTCTGCCAAATGGCAGTAAAAACAAATAAACGGTGAAGGCAGCTTTTCCGCTTCTAACAGCATGATTTTTGATTTTAATAAATTAGCAAGTGAAGATGTAATATTTGGCTATAGTAAGTGTTACTATCTTATAATAAGCCAGAGAGCAAGTGGCTAATAAAGGATAACTAAGAGGGCCTGTTTAAAAAACTGTAATCTTAATCATGAAGAGTCAAGGTCCTTCCTGCTCGTTCTAAGGTTAATTTGAAGAGATAAGACCAAGTTAGATAAGGTGATAGGTAACTAGGTAACCAAATATTTAAAATTTGGTTTGGTTTGTTTAATAGAAAACAGTGAAACAGAGTGATGGACTAAAAGAAGGTAAACTCTACTACTGTTACAGAGGCTGCCTAGCTGCTTGCTCTTCAAATATATTGGAACTAGAACTCCCATCCTCCACATCAGCATAGCTACTCAAGGCTGAAAGTGATTGGAGTTGAGTTCCCTGTGGAAGGGGATCACTAGAGACTTACGTCCTTGCACCCCATCTCTAAAGGAATCCTGGATGGATGCATAGAGCTTAAACCTCTGAATAGGAAGATCCATTGTTCCTATTTGATTCACCTAGAACCAAGAAATATTTACAAAATTAAAAACTTCAGCAATGTGAAACCCTATTGTGGGTTATTTCTCTGAAATTCTGGAGGGAAGTGTCACCTGCTTACTTGCCTTCGCAAAAGAGCTGTCTCTGCATTAATCCCATCTTGTTCTCTGCAGATTAGCAAGTGAGGAGAAATGATTGACTTGCACAATCAAATTCAGACGGTGACTGTTGCAGTAGCCTGCACAAGCCCCAGTCTGCTGGTCCCTGAAATATTGCACATCAAATGATGAGATTCTCATCCAAGGTTTATACCTAGACATGACTAAATAACTTTGGACGTCACTCTTTCTCCTGTAACATGCTAGTGCCATTTACATGGTCTTAATAAATTTAGTGCCAATTGTACATCCGGAACATTTTTCTCTCTCATTTACTAAGGGATGGTTTAATTATTTCATTGCATTAACTCACACTAGGATTGCAGAATATACTATTAAAGATTGTTGAATTGCTTTAATATAATGATATGTATTGAACAAAACAGCAGTTTTCAAATGGTCATATTATTTTCTAATAGCTATAAATATGAAAAAGTTGTCTATATTCCGTGTCCATTGTCTCCCTCCCCATCTTGCAGGCTTTTCCCTCTGTGTCTGGTTAGGATCTCAATCCACAATCCAGAGAAGCAGCAGCTACGATTCAAGCTGTCAAGTGGCCGTACCTTTTACCTGCAGTTCTGTCCCCAACCTGGCTGGAATGGAACAACTCACATTCCCCTGCACTCATCCGGCCGTGCCCACCCAGTTGCACCAATACATCTGGGTCCACCCAGTCACACCCACCCATCCAAGCCAACCTAGATCCCAGCCTGGCACCCAAGAAGATATCTTTGGCCTATGAGTCAAGGTGGTCAATATGCTACAATCACCTTCAGACTTCAGACATAAAATCTCACAGCAAAGCCAAACATGAAACCTCCAGGTCAAAGGTATACTGTCTTTCTATTGCTAACTTTTATTTCTTTTTATATTATTAGCAGAATCGTATGTCATAGAATAATGTATGCAAAGGGGGCCATTCCAAGACATTTGCAGTCCAAGCGTTGACAGTGGAAAGGGAAGGAGCATAGAAAACTATTTTAGAAGGAATCTTTCCCATGCCAACTTAAGGTTATTGTATATTTATTTATTTATTTATTTGTTTAGATTTATATACCGCCCTTCTCCCGAAGGACTCAGGGCGGTGCACAGCATATTAAAAACAAGTAACAATAAAATACCAAAAAAATTAATAAATACCAAAATAAAAACCCCTCTAAGACCAAATTAAAAGCCAAATATTAGTAGCTGTGTCGTAATTAAAATTATATTAAAATCA